AATCTTTGTACTCTACGGTTCAAGACATCTCAGAAGTACCTTAAGGATGCAGTTGCCCGCGGCAAAGAATGCAGCTACGCATGGTCAAATCTTGGTATCTCACTGCAGTTGTCTGAGGATGAACCCTCTTCATTGGAACCCGATCTAGGGGGGCAAACTCATTCCACCTATCCTGGATTCCTTTTCAAGACACATATCCTGATTTCGAGCTTGAGGACAAGCTCTGAGTCCAGGAGGAGAGTAATGATGTGGACGCGTTTATTGGGAAGAAGTATAGCCGCCGGCAGCAGCAATAAAGGGAGCAAGATTTGCTGATTCTCATCTTATCTAATTCTAGCTAGATACAGTTCTTATCTTATCAGTTCAGTCTTATCTTATCTTATCAGTTCAGTAGGATAGATTAGTAGGGAGTCTTCCTAATTAACAAGGAGTCTTCATAAAAGTAGGACTCTTATCTCTTGTAATCTCCTATTTAAGGAGCTGATATTATTCAATAAAGGAATCGAAAATTTCAGTCAAGAAAGGGAGCAAGGAGAGTTAGGTGATCTCTTGGACAAATCACCATTAGGGCGCCAAGATAGGTTCATCAAGAGCAGGGAGGACCAAGGGAAAACAGGAGGTTTTCCCCGTGGACCGACCCATGACGAGATCCTATTCCCGGGCCCATAACATCCCCTTGTCTTAGACCTCGCTTAGCCAGGAAAAAGTCTTTGGCCACTCCATTAATAAGAATGGAATAGTGTACTGACTTAATGCAACTTTAATCCACTTCCTCCACCTTTCTCCAAACCCAAATCTTTCCAAGATTTCTAGCAAGATGCCCCAATTCACTAAGTCATAAGCCTTTTCTAAGTCCAACTTACAAACCAAGACTTTTCCTCTGCTCTTCCTTTTCTCAACAACACAATCATTTGCCACAAGGATTTGATCCACAATTTATCTCTGTTCTACAAAGGCCCCTTGGAAAGGAGAAACTATTAAAGGTAGGACTTGTTTGATCCTCTCTAAAAGAACCTTTGAGATAATTTTGTAGAGGCTCCTTATCAAATTGATTGGTTTGAAATCCTTGGGAGATTTTGCCTCCTTAGGCATCAGGGAGATGAAGGTAGCATTTGCTCCAAAGGGGATCTTGCTTTTACGGAAAAATTCTTCAAAAACTTCCAAGAGATCAAATTTTAGGTGATCCCAACACTCCTAATAGAAGGTCATAGTAAATCCATTCACAAAAGCAAACTAGGTTTGAGAAACCAACTCTTTTAGGACTTCTCTGAGTTGTTTTGAAAGGCCATAGTAAATCCATCTGGTCTCGAGGTTGTCGATATGTCCATGGAAAATATTGCTCCCTTAATTTCTCCCAAAGAGAAGTTTCTTTCCAATTCCTAGGAATGATCCTCTAAGATCATAATCCAACCCAATTCTAGTGTTGTGTTTTTATGAAACTAAACCCCAACTCTTAATAATTCTTCCAAAAAAACACTTGTCCTATAGAAACATTATTGTAGAAAGATTAACATTTATTAATTTGACAGATTTAACACATCAGAAAATTGTGAGAGAAAAATAGTTGCATTTTTCGCTTCATAAAAGAGGGGGATTTCTTGAAATAGTTCACTCCCATCTTTGAAATGCCAAAAACATGGTAATTTCATGTTTTTGCTTACTTGCAAGCACAAAAACCAAGGAAAACAAAAATAACCAACTTGTAGAAAACCCTAAAAAATATCTGCATGTGTTAATGGACAATTTGACATCGAAAACTTGCTAAGTCTAGTAAAATAATAGAAACTAGAAGCTAAGGAGGTGCTCTATAACAAGAATGTTTTTGTTTTCATTTGTTTCTGAAATTGCCACATCAGCAAAAAAACAACAACATGTTCTTGAACTTTGTTTTTGTTTTGAAAAGCAAATATAAGTTGTTTTTGTTTAAAAATAATAATTTGTGTTTCTGAAACCATCAAAGCTATGGTTTTCAAAATAGAAACAAACTCTGTAGTATGGAAGTTATATGATTTATGGAATATGATAGTAAATAACCAGATGAAAACATGTTATTTAAACCAGAAATTCAAGAACACATTTTTAGTGAGAGTTTTGGAAACAAAAAATGCATATACAAACATATTTTCTGTGATTTCTTTAAGAACTAATTTGTTTTTAACCTAGATGGTTTTGATTTGTTTTTGGAACACACAACAAGAAAAACATTTCACATTGGAGAACACCTCCTAAGTTATCACAGACTTGAAAGCCCTGCTCATCTCATCCAATAAACACGCATTGCTGATAATAGCTAACTGAGAAGCATACTTGAAATCATCTCACAGAACCATAGAATCACAGTGTTCAGAAAATTCGTTTAGTTAGAAATATCACCAACTTGTGTTACACTCCAAGCCACATGTGAGCCTATCCCTGATGGCTTCAATTTTTTATGGCAACCCTTGCCGTCATCAAGTATGCATTTACATAATTTATCTTTTGCATTCAAATTAAATTGTATATAATGAGCATATGGTAAGTACAGAGATTGCATGGTATGTATAAGGTACCACCACCTCCAATTCTTATCTCCAGAAGCATAGCCATCACCAGCAGGAAATGCCCAACAAACTACCAGTTGTTAAGGAGTGAAAAACTCATATTTGTCCATATAAAAAGATCTTTTACTGAATAACAAGAAAATTTTATTAATAAAAAGAAAAATGGACCAAAAAACTGCTTTTTATAAGGCTTGACTTAACACCCACACAAGAATGACATTGTACCGAAGCTATCTTAAAAATAAGAAAGTATCTTTATTCTAACAAAAATTAATGAATGTATAGCAGCATCATGGATGTATACAAGCAAAAGATATCAAGTGAAAAATGTACCAGTGAAATTTAGGAACAAATATAATGTCTGATAAGAAATACCAACCAAAAATTTAAGAATGTTAAGAATCCTAACTAAATTGATAACCAAGAAGTCATAGAAACCACAGCCGCATATAGAAAATGGCATAGGATACAGAATTGCTATTAAACCTCTATCGCCATCTTCAACCATAGTCAAGAGCATGAATCTCCATCGATGTCAACCTTGAGATGAGTTTCTGATGCAAATAAAATCAAAGAAAACTAAAAGAGCATTTTAATAGAATATGGCCCAAGTCATTCTAAATTTTTTGTACCAAGAGGTCGAAATGAACAATATAACAATTATGCAATGAAGAAGTTAATGCATGAATTGACTATCATGAATTGTCATGCCTCTATAGAACAGTTTACAAGATGCAGATAGGCGGAGGTTCAACTTCATATGAGATATTACAGGGAGAATTTGTCAGCCCCAATATGGAGCCTCAACTCCCAAGTCCTAGATTATGATATTTGCTTAGCAGATAATGCATAAGTAGAATATTATACTATTTGCTTAAAAGATAATGCATAACTATCAGGATACACATGAAAGTGTTATGTACAGACCTCAAGCCCCTCATCTTGTTCCCAAGCAAGGCCAGGTCCATTATACATGTTCTTGATAAGCATTGTGCAAGATTTATCAGGATAAAAGTGAACTCTGCTGCAACGAGACCCAAAACGACAGGCTCCAGTTTTGATATGAAAAGGACAATGAGCTTTATCCTAACAAAATACAATTGAGAGATCACGTTGTAATACTCAAGTATTCAACAATAACAATAATTCTAAAGTATCAACAACAAACTAAAGCCCTTGTGATTAAAAAAATCAATAAACAAATACAGAATCAGAGAGAACTGAAATATACACCTGTTCAGTTCCAAAATTTGGGATTTGTTGAGCAACACTCTCAAAGACCTCTTGCGCAGAAATAGATGATGTGTTCTTATATGCAATGAAAGCTTCAGATTGTGGAGGAAGAGGATTGGATGTAGGTCTGTCAGCACCCTGTAACATGAAAAATAACCTTTTACAGTAAAAAAAGATGCACCACAACCAAAAAATAACTAAATAGACAAGGTAAAAGACAGTGCAACACCTCAATTTTAGGTTTCTCATCCACATTTTTCTTAGGGACTTTAACCCTTTTCTTCTTGACAATTATCTCATTTCCTTGCCAGATTATTTCTGCAGGCCCTTCTTCTACATAGTCCCAAGCATTATCGTCATCTTCTTCCTTTAATACATTCTCTTGTTCAATCTACAAATTATTTCCAGAAATAAATAAAGCCCCCAGTTCAAATTCAGAACTACATAGCTAAAAATTGGTATCGCAAACCAAGCAAAATAAGATTATATGAATGAAGATAACGAACATATCGACATGGACATTAAACCTGATTGTTAGGTGATTCTTCAAGCAGCTTCTTCTGCGCCTCCTCTTCCGTTTTCTTTGCAGCCTCAATCCACAACCTCTCACGTTCTTCAAATGCTTTCCTCTCCCTTTCCAATACCTTAGCCTCTTCTTGTTCCTTTAAACGAATCCTAAGCTGTTCTTCGGGATCATTCAATCGAGCTTCTTCTTCTTCCCGTTCCTTCAGTGCAATCTCTCTCCTAATCTGCTTCCTCTTTAGCTTCTTTGCAATTTTTCTCCTCTCTTTTCGACATAGATCCACTTGACTTTCCATTTTTAACGGCTTTTTCTCCTCCATTTCTGCTGTAACCTGCTCCGTCATCCTAAAATCAATCCCCCTGCTATGGCTGCAAACCAAATCGAATTCCTGTTAGGATATATTCAATTCAATTCGGTAAGGAAATCATCAGATTCGATCATTCGAATTCGATAAGAATAGCAGAGCATAAACCCAATGATCAAGCAGATACAACATACAATTATGATGTTATCTGATGATAGATACATCAGAACTCAGGAAAACTTACGGTGGTTCTAGACACTCCAATGCTCGAAAGCAAAGAACTCAGAAAACCCACACTGTTTCCAATTTCGTGTTCACACACATGTAGAGAGACAGACAGAAGAGAAAGGGAAGCAACAGTGTTTGGATCAGTTGGAGACTTTGAGAGAAATCTGGGAAACCAAGGGATGAAAAACCCTTTCAAATACACAATGAAAATGACTGCAAACCCCAAACAGATTGATAGAAAATTCATATTAGGAAATACTCTTACTTGACTAATAGGGATTCCACGTCCGGTGGTAATTAGGGTTGTAGACGCCAAACAGTCGATGGCATTCCTCGTTCGGTGGTCGAAGTTCGTCGAAACAAGTTCGAAGTTGTCCGATTATTAACAAAATCGAAAGCGAAGAGACGACGAGTGAAGAGGGGATGGGAGACCAAAGAGTGAGCCATTGTTTTCAAACCTTCATTGACCCGGACGGTTTAATCGTTCCAACCGTCATCTGACTTCAATTTCGGTCCGAGTTAATCCCGAACCCGCCAATTGGTCGAGAAACGTTGATATAGGCGAGGAGATCGGCTTCGGTGAGGGCAAGCCTGCGCTAATACCGTCCCAACAGCCTATTGCAACCTTGTATCGGGAATATCTCCCCATGAAAGAGTATATAAATACGGAGATATTCCTATTTTATATGCTTGGATGATTTTGAATTTTGCAAAAAAGTAACTTTGCCCTATTATAATTTGAGGGATCAATTTAGACCTCGGATTAAGAAGTTAAGACTTGAGTATTTAATTCAAAATAAATTTGACTTTGCCTTTTAAATTTTTTTTTAGAGTTTTTATAGTAGTAGTTTTGGGTTTTGGGTTTTGGATAGAATTTATTGGTGATTGAGATTTCACCTATGATAGTGGTAATTCCTATTGAGTCTATTTGGTAGGGTAAAATTGATAATAAGAATGACATTCCCAAGATGACATCTTGTCGTAAGTCCCTAATCATGAGGAACAAGGTTTACAGGCAAATTCCTTGGCTACAGATATGAGTTGTAGGAATTTTATATTTAATCCCTAATTTTCTTCCATCAACAACGTTTACAGTTAGTTGAGAGGTTTTTTCAAAATATTTGGAAGGTACAATTCCTTCCTTGATACAATTTATATTTCCACCTGAATTGATTAAGGCTATAACTGAAAAACTAAAACCTTTAATTCGAATGGTTACCTCTAAGTACCATTTTTGATACTTAACTTCTTCGGTACAGCATATAAACTCTTCATCTTCTCCTATGAATTTTGCGGGTTTGACTTCTGACGAATTCTTAAATTGATCCATTGAGTATGTAGATTCTAATTGTTTGACTTTAGACTTTAGTGTCTTAACTTCCTTCTTAACATCATTGACGTCTTGCTTAAGGTCTATTAGAGTAGGGGGCCACGAGGTTTGACTTCTGCTGTAAACAATTTTTTAGATTTTTGTTTTTTATCATTTTCTTTATTTTGCATTGCCATGAACAAATGCTTTTTTCTTGTTTCCTCATCAGAAATCTCTTATAGGATTTTTAGAAGGTGTTTTTCTGTATATTTACAAGTGCAGATTCCGTCATTGTAGCAGGATAAACATCAACTATTAAGAGGGTCTTCTTTCTAAAAATAGTCCCAGAATCAATCCTTTGAAGCCTAGCCCACATGATAGTCTATACATATGGAGAGATCGGAGGTATACAAAACAAGTCTAGTTCACAAGCATCTTTGACACCACAAAAGGACACCTAGGATCACTATTTAATTAAACCCACTAGAAAGTCTAAAATTGCTATTGATAAACAATGTCATAAGAAATAATGAATTCGAGGGGGTATATGATGCGCCAAAAATGCTTTCACATACCTTAAGTATTTGATACAATTGGACGGCTTGTACACATAGTGGTTTTTTATATTATTTTTCAAAATAAATCTTTCACTTTATAATGTAGATAAAGGCACAAAAAGAGGTTTATTAAACAAGAAACCTTGAATAGAAACAATGATATCAGGTCCGTTTGGTTCGTAGTCGGAATCGAAATTGAAATCGAAATCGGAATCAAAATCGTCTGGAATCAAAATCGAAATGGTTCATTCTCATAGTCTGTTTGGTTCAAACAAAAATAGGAATGCAAATTAAAATCAGCAGGAATGGGATTTCATTCCCAAGGGAGGGGCAGGGAATGGCCATTCCCTCAAATTGGGGAATGGCATTCCAACAGGAATGAGAATGGATTCCGATTCCGCCCAACCAATCAGTTGGAATCGGAATAGCCCATTCCAATTCCAATTCCAGACCCCTATTCCTGCAAACCAAACGGACCCATTAATGATACAAATTGACATACCACCTCTAAAGAACAATGCTCCAACCTCCATATTTAGTGCCTAGGGTGATGATGTATCCGACAAGTTTGTTGTGCCTTTTGCGTCTTTTTCAAGTTGTCACAAGTACCCAATCATTGCTTTCATTCTAATGAGAATATTCAATGTAATGTTCTCAAAACCAATATATAAGTATGATCCACCAATAAAACGATACCAAGTATTTACCCTAATGTCTTTGTCTCCTCCATAGTGACCCTTTGAGTGGGATCATCACTATATCTTAGGGTAGCACTGGTCTTACCTCCTAGCAACGGGGAGAAGTTTATACCATTTTAGTATCAAAGCTATTGAGTGTCAAGTACCTAGGAGCAATGTTTTCAAAATCGGATTAGATCGGAACCGGTCCACTTTACCTCAAAACTGTTGATTTGGTTAGCAAATCGTTGACCTGGGTGATCAAACCATCAAACTGTTAGACCTGGGAATGGTTTTGGCCGTTTTTTTTTTTTTTTTTTTAGAATGGGCCATCCATTCAGAACGGACGATCGGGCCATTCGACTTGGGTATCATACCCTAGAATGGTTCCCTGTCTGATTTGATTTTGAAAACCTTGCCTAGGAGAGACACATGACAAACATGGAAGGCGGGCTTAATGAAGTGCAAAAAAGGGCACCGGGATTCTAAGTGCATGACTGGATGATATTGTTGAGAAACTCAACCAATTGATTAGGTTGAGCGAGCCTCATAGTAAGGCACTGGAGGTTCTTTCTTAGCAAGGATCACATTTAGAAGTTGGGGGTAGTAGATTGGATGGCTTGCAGGGAGAATTAGAGGAAGTTCATATCAGTGGCTCTCTAACTACCACCTTCACATAACCAAGAGATAGTTCATGGCCGCTCCGGATGTCAAGTTTAATGGACCATAGGGAACAAACCATTTTGGAAGGCTAGCGAAACTGGTTCACTCAGGCATATTTAGTTGAATGTTTCACCATAAGGTTGAACCATGAAATTTGGGTTAGAGTGGAAAAGATGGAGCTGGTGACAATAGCATGAGCACTATGATTAGTTATGTTAGAAGAAGAGGAGGTAGTAATTAGATGCAAGGGGCCGACAAGAAATTGATCATCCTAGACCACGTCCATCTCAATTACCCTTACAAGGTCTTAGGCCAAAAGGTCCTACTAGCAGTGGACATCGCTAAGGGGCTTTGTTACAACTATGATGGGTCATGGGTCATATACCCCAACACCGTTACAAGAGCCAAAAGTTACTATAGATCATCCATGAGTCAAATGAGGATGATAGTGACATTCCCCTGGTTAAGTAAGAGGAGCTTGAGACATAGGACAACATGCTAGAATTTTCCATTCATGTGATGGTAAGGAGATGGGACCATCTCTTCACACTATGAAGGTCCAAAGAACATTGTAGTATCAACAACTATTAATACTGGTTGATGGGGGCTCCATTCATAACTTCCTTGATACAAATGTTGGCTAGCTGATGAAAGCTTCAGAGCTTGGCTACACTCACTTCAAAGTGAATGTGGCTAGTGGGGAGCGGTTACATGGTGTTGGAAGGTGTTCTTTACTCCCTCTTAAGATTCAAGGTAACAATATTCAAGCTGTTTTTCTCCTCCTCGAGTTACTTGACTATGATGCCATGTTAGGGATACAGCGGTTGCGAACCTTAGGTTTGTCACATGGGATTTCACTGAGATTATCATGCAGTATAGTAGCACAAATCAACCCAAGTTGTTATAAGGGGATTAAATCATTTGGACTCAAAGAGGTGAAACCTGATGGAGGGTGATTTGGCCTGACCTCGTAGCTCAGGTACACGTAGGCGTGACCAAGCTCAAATAGTGACTCAGCATGACAACACAACGGACGAGAGCACAACTCGGTGGGGAAGTCCCACCGAGTTCAGCACGGCAACTTGGCAGGTAAACTACTCGCCGAAAGCCACCTCGCCCGCACCTCCTCCCCGGGGTTAAGGGACTTCGGGGGGTCCCAAGTTCGGGGCACCATGACCCCTTTTGAGACCCGAGCTCCTCCCAATGGACCTCGGGCCACTCCCAAGCAAGAACACACCGATTCTTCTTCAGATGCCCCAAGGCACAAAGACCTCGGGTCGGCTAGCTCGGCATAACCGGTTGCAGGCAGCCCATCACTTAAGGGACGGCCCAGCTCAGGGCAATTCACAGGAGAACAGCTCGATATACCATAGGAGGGCTTCCTGCCCGACCGCTGTACCCGATAAACTTGCGAACTGCAGGCATGTCCCCTCGCTGCGCCTGCCACCTTTAGAAAGGCGTCCCACACCTGACAAACACGTACCCTGCACGACGGCCCCGCCTGACAGTGGCGGTTATACCTGCCCTATCAGAAGTCAGAGGGCCGGGAGCAACGGAATTCAGCTATAAGGAACTTATCCTCAAGGAACAAGGTATCTAGAATGACTAGCGTAATCTGCACTCTTAGTGTTCACTCTCTTTCAGCTTCTTGCACACAGTACTAACTTAAGCATCGGAGCGTTCCCGCCAAGAAACCCCTCGGGGAGTTCTTCCTCCTTCCTCTTGTTTCAGGTACATCTCAGGAGCCACGCAAGCGCCAGCTAGGAGTGACCGGATTGTGCTACACCATTTGGCACCGTCTGTGGGAAAACACTTCAAAAAAGCCTTTCTCTCTAAACTCTTTTAGTTCCTTCTTCTTCCTTGAAACAATCCAACGCTCATGGCTTCCTCTAGCAACGTCGGACGAAGCACGGAAATGGATAACTCCAGGGAACAACCCCAGCTTCCTACCATCTGTATCGGACAGTTCACCGTCCTCCTCTCAGCGGATGGAATCCCCAGCTTAAACGTGCCCCTCACAATGGAACCTGTCATCGCCCCACTCCCCGCTACAGTTGGAACGACGTTCACCGAACCTTCGGTCGTGCCCCCAGCGGCCAACCCGAACCAGCTGGAGGACATGGTGCAGTGCATGAGGGCCATGCAGGCTCAAATGCAACAGTTCCAACAACTTCAACTCTATCAACAGCACGTACTGCACCA